ACAAATAAAAGAGCAGGTTTGCTGGATAAAAACTATTTATAAAATAGGAATAAATAATGAATGCATAGAGGAATGTAAAACTTCATGTTTAAAGAAGGCTCAGACAAAGTTTAGTTCACAAAGATGTCAATTCTCTGCAAAGTTTATAGATTTGATCAGTTCCCATCAAAATCCCACAAGGGTTTTTTTTTTTAAAATGGTAAATGACAGACTGACTTCTAAAATTTAGTGCAAAGATTCAAGAATAATGATACTCTTGAAGAAAAATGTGGAGCATTGGCCTCTGAAAAGATAAGAAGAAGCTATAGTAATTAAATCACTGTGGAACTAGTACAGGGYTGAAATAGAATATCTAGCAGGAAAGAACAGAATTTTATTTAATGGCATTAAGGCAGTKCCTTATGCACATAGGATAAAAATGGATCTCTCCTTATATGTTAAAAAATCAGTTCTAAGTAGAATCAAACTTACATATGAAAGTAAAAACTACAAAACTTTAGAAAACAATGTGGGAGAGACTCTTTATAATCTCAAGAAGKAAACCGTTAAGGTACAAAAAAAGCAAAAAAAAAAAAAAATTAAAGAAAAGTTACTGGTTTGGGACTGCCCAAATTTAAAGAAGGCTATTCACCAAAAACATAATTGTTTGAGAAATAGTCCTAAAGCAAGAATTGTTTGTACAACATAACTTTCTTAGGGTTAAAATAATAAAAACATAAAGAGTTTTTACAAATCTACCAGAGAAAGACAATCTGTGCAATACTATGGCAAAGACAGGAACAGGCCTTTCACAGAAGAAACACAAATAATAAGGGTTGGCCAGAATGTGGAGTTTCAAGAACTCTCTCACACCTCAGATGGGAGGGGAAAGTGTGACCAATTTGTAAAAACAAGTTGGCAATACTTTGTTAAATTGAAAGTGAGTAACCGTTTGATCCAGTAATTTCACTCTAAGAAATTCTGACACGTGGACACCAAGAGACACAGACTAGGACGTTTATAGGCGTGTTATGAATGATAGGGAAAAAAGTGGGAACAACCCAWATGTTCACCAGCCGTGGAATACATACATAAATTATGAGTCATTAAGCAATGAAATACATCAAGCAGTAAAGCAAGTGGATTAAAGTTATAGTTATCCACGTAGGTGAATTGTAACAATTTTTATTGAAAAAAGCAAGTTATAGAAGAATATATGTATATGTGTAGGTTTTAAACAGTCTAAAGATATATTATTTATACATAATTGCAGAACTAGTAAAATTCAGGAAATAATTAACACAAAATCCCAGCAGTGATTGCCAGGAGAGGAGAAGGTGTGGGAGTCAGGTATATTGGCATAAGGGTGCACAAGGAAGCTTCAAAGTGACCGTCATGGTTCTGTTTCTCAGGCAGAATAGTGCAAGGTGAATATTATGACTTTGATGTGGTTTATGACTTTTAAAACTCAATGGGCACTTTTTTTTTTTTTTTTTTTGGTGGTGGTGATGGAGATTGAACCCAGGGCCTTGTACATGTGAGGCAAGCACTGTACCAACTGAGCTATATCCCCAGCCCSTGCATGGCACATTTTATACCTTTTTTGATACATTTAAGAGAAATGTAACCTGTAGTAATTTTAGAGATAATAGGAGATGTTTTTAAATTAGGTAAAATGAATTAAGGTGTTAAAATGCAAAAAGATTGATTTAATTTTCTAAGTTAAGGCCTCTCTATTCTAGCAGTTTTAAGAGTGCAAATTCAGGGAGACTGTAGAGACCTAAGAGAACATCTCTGGTGTGGTAGTGTAAAGGAAGTGTTGGAGACACATGTCCTGGACCTGGATTGGTTTTCTTCCTCTACCACTCCCTTTCTCACTCCCTTAAATATTTAGTTCTTTAATTACCAAACCTGTCCTAGGAGCTGAATAGACAAATCAGGGAATGTACCTGTCTTGACACTTACAACATTTTTTAAACTCTTGCTTAGAGACTGATAATATTATCTTCCTAAACTAACTCATCAAAATTCACTTCAGGTACATATTATAATCACTCTTTGAGATCTTTTTAGATAAATCCCTGTTTATATGTTTAGACAAACCTAATGAAATGCACGGCTTTAAATTTTTTCAGGATAACATCCTTTTTAATCTGGATCTATATCTTAGATAACAGCCTAATTCTTACATATAGTTATTCCAATGTTGGGTTTTTTTTTGTTGTTGTTTGTTTGTTTTTGGTACTGGGGATTGAACCCAGGTATCCTTTATCAGACCTTTSTTTAAAATTTTATTTTGAAACAGCGTTTTGCTAAGTTGCCCAAATTGTGATCTTCCTGCCTCAGCCTTCTGAGTAATTGGGATTACAAGCATGTGCCACTATGTCTGATGCATTCCAATTTTTTTAGTTATCCTTCTCATATGTATCAGTTGAACCCAATATATTGATTTTTAGCTTTATATCTATGCTTTTKAGGCTTGAAATTGGATCTCATCTTAAACTTTGACTTAAAGCAGTATTTCCAAGATCATCACAAGCATACTGCTAAGAATATCAGGGACTACAAAGGCAAATACTTTTTAAAAAAAAAATTTATTTTTTAGTTGGACACAATACCTTGTTTTATTCATTTTTATGTGGTGCTGAGGATCGAACCCAGGGCTTGCATGAGCTAGTCGAGTGCTAAACCGCTGGGCCACATCCCCAGCCCCACAAAGGCAAATAATTTTTAATAGTCACCTAGTTATTTTAATCTTTCTTATAAAATACACTCATGAAGCCTGTGATTGCATGGCTGTTATTTCTTAGATGAAGGCAATGTAAGTCACACATAGACTGCATGAATTCATGGCCCAAATGGTTCTCAGATACAGCAACAAATCATGAAATTGTGTGGTTTATACATGTAATATTTAGTTATAAAGGTGAATTAAAGCATTCATTTGATTCCCTTTGGTTGTCTCTTACTTGTAATTTTCAAAAAAAAAAAAAAAAAAAAAAACCAACAAAACTCTGATGTGGTATTGCTAGGAAAAATCAATCTAGAAAATCCTGTTTGGATATCATATTCTGTTGTAGAAACCGCTCTAGTAATGCAAAGATGGATAAGATGTGGGTCCTTCCCTCAGAAGCACCAGCCTAATAAGAATAGGCAAGTAAAATAAAACCTGACACRGCATGGTATGTGCTTTAGAGGAGCATGTGTAAGTTGATAGGTAGCTTGGGAAGGCGATACTGACCATGGAGAGCAAGGGACTCTTCACTGAGGAAGGGGCACTTGGAAGCAGGTTTAAAAGATGAGCAGAAAGTTTACAGTAAGACAGACTGGKAAAGGGACACCTGGGAAAGGCACATGCCAAGGTACAGAAACCTAAAAGGACAAGCGTATTGGGTTAACTATGAGCAAGCAGCTCGTCATTGGAGGTGAGGGTTGAGGACCTGATATGAGGGTGTCTTGAGGGTGTCCATGTGGAGTGTGATSGTCTTTTCTTAGATCTTATCCTCTACGGCTTATCACCCTGTGAGAGCTCTTAAGCAGAAGAGGGTCATGTTATGTTCTCTGGGGCAGTGCAGAAGATGGCTGGTTGTTGGGCAAAGGGAAGTGGGAAGCAGTTGGGGAAAGATTCTGCTTTGTTTCACTTTTCAGGATATGCAGGAAGCTAGATTACATCTAGATTTTTCCTAGAACTTAATTCATCGAAGGAGATAGTGGTAGGTGATTTGCAGCCAACATTCGAAGTTTCTGAAGACATTGGTATTATTCAGTCTATTGTAAACAAGTATTAATTAACTTTACCTTATATTAAGAACAAAGAGATTTTTATTTATTTTATGTTTTGACATTATTTTTTAGTTTCATTGTAGTCAACATTATTGGGCCTTTTTAAAAAAAACTTATATTTGGTGCTGAGAATTGAATCCAGTGCTTCACACACGCTAWGCAAGTGCTCTACCACTGAGCTACAACCCTGGCCCTTATTTTGTATTATTTTACTATAGGAAGCAGCATATAAAAGTCAAGTGGAGATGTGGTATTGATGAGGAATTTAAGTGGCACATTCTGTAATAAATTGCAGAGACAGTAGAAAGAAATCTTTAAACTTTTTTTTTCTTTTTTGCAGGTAATAACCTGCCAAAATCTCAGATAATGGTGTTATTTAAAGGGGTTTGAGTAGACAACAAAATCTTATGTGAATAGCCTCCTTTATGAGTTTTAAAAGGCCTGGGATTGTAACTYAGTAGCAGGAGGTCCTGGATTTGACCCCCAGCACCAAAAGTAAAGTATAAAGAAGCCAAAAAAGGCAAACAGAGGCTTTAGAAATGTTTTGTGTAACTTAATTTTGTTGCTTCTACGACTATTTACTGTTAAGTCTTAGATTTAATAACCTTGGGATTTCTTGTTTCTGTCTTTCAGAGAAATGGTTGGTATACCAACTTATTTTTGTTCCTTTAGTATATCATAGGTTTGATGCTGACCTGTGTATGTGAGTTTGTATCTGCCTGTATAGCCAAACCCTTAATACCAAATTTTCTGTCTCTCATTTATTTGSAAGTATTCTGACATTTTGGGATGTGTCTCAGTTAGCTCATTTGCTAACATCCATAAAGCCACGTGGTCTTAGCATTATTTTAACCTTTGAGTATTGCAGCCATCAAAAAGTTCTGACTTTGATGAGGAATTAACTTTTTAACATTTCTCCAAAAATAATCCAGAAGCATCAAAAGAGCAAATTCATTCCAAGGGCATGCAGTGATGGCCAAGAGGRAAGTTAATGTTAACTTGATAGTGTGATCTTAGAATAGAAATGAGGGAGGCCACAGAAATGAAGGAACCCCAGTGACCTTGGGACCACTGCAGGTTCCTTCCTGCAAGGCCCAATAATGTTGACTACAATGAAACTTGATTTGTACTTGAAAAGATACTTTCTATGCTGTTGTCACCAAGTTCTTTTGAAGTTCTTTATCATTATTTTGAAGAGTTAATTCCTTATTTTTGTTTTATTTTTTACTTTGACACAGAAATCCCCTGCAAAGAAGCTGAGCCATGCAATTAGTAAATCTTTGGGGTGTGTGCCCTCCAGAGAACCCCCACATCCTGTTTTTCCTGAGCAACCAGAGAAACCACTTGACCTTGCACATATAGTGTAAGTATGCACCTGAATGTGGACCCTTCTGAAATGAAGGTCTTGTGAAATTCCTTTGGATCAAAACCAAGAATCACCTAACATGAACATTGCCCTTTCTAGACGCTAAGCTCCAATTTCTTTAAATCACCATAAACATCTACATGGAAGCYTAGCTTCCTGATTCCTGAAGCCTAAGAAACAGCATTTTCAGAATAGGAATACCTTGAAGAGGAGTGTTTGTGCTGTTGAGCTGAGTTGCCTTTTGCTGTTTATATGTCCTGCCCTTAAATTAGTGATAGAAGTCATGTCTTCTCCTCAGCGTAGTGCCCACAGGGACTTGAGTCAGTTTACATGACATGGAAATAAAAACCAACTTACTTTTTACTTTTCAAATTGAGAGAAAATTAGGCGCTGTATGTGTATATAAGGCTGTTACACACACACACACACACACACACACACACACGCGCGCGCGCGCGAAACAGGTGCACGATAAATAAAGCAAAGCTACTGGGGAACAAAAAGTTTGAAATAAAGACCAGAGGTAAGGAGGAAGAGGACAGGATTCAGTCTCTAAAATGATTTCTTCATTCTGAATTAAATGGTGATAGTAAGTATACTTTGCTCAATAAAGTTGGCAGGTTTGGGATCTTTAGTCTTCATCACGAGTGTGGAAGTTTCTCTGCTATAGTGAGCACTCATTATCTTTTACCTACCTGATGGAAGATGGTTTGACCAAATGAGCTGTTGGGGATATCAAATAATTTTTAAAATAATTTTAAATATCTTAAAAACTTTGGTATTTATTAAAATAATATATGCATGTGGATTAAAAATTCAGTAATACAGAACTGCTTATTTTAACACAACACACCCTCCAACACTTGACCTTTCTTTGCCTGGGTTTTAGGTCTACCAGTAGTTACCTCTCTATTGCTCTGTCTTATATGTATAAGACCATTTTTCTTGACCTACCAGTTTTAGATATTATTGAACTTCATCAAGGGTGTAAGGAATCAACCTCATTTATAAATAGATGCCATCCTAATCCTAACCCTAACTCATCCCAGTTTTTCATAATTGTATCACCATTTTTAAGTTGGCTTCCTTATTGATTTTAAATAATATTCTTAAAACTCAATTTCTTAGAACTCCCTTCAACTTCTACTGCATAAACTGAGAAAATCAGTGTGTTTTATTTCTCTTTTTGCCTCCTGATTTTCACTTTGCCAATATTGATAATCGTTCTGGTCTATAACAAAGTGTTCCAAGATTTATAAACATAAAAGTTGAGAATCCAGGGCTGGGGATGTGGCTCAAGTGGTAGTGCGCTCGCCTGGCATGCGTGTGTCCCAAGTTCGATCCTCAGCACCACATACAAACAAAGATGTTGTGTCCTCCGAAAACTAAAAAATAAATATTAAAATTCTCTCTTTACTCTCTCTCTCTCTCTTTAAAAAAAAATGGTTAAAAAAAAAGTTGAGAATCCAATAACAATGTTTATGGATAACATCACTCATTACAATCAGATTCAAATTGAGAGACTTTGAGCTCACTGAGCAGCTCTTCTGCCCCCACCAGATTCAACAGTCTATAGTCTTCTGGGTTCCTGGGGAGGAGAGCCAGAGATGGTCAGCTCAGGAGTGTGTTCTGTAAGTGTCTTCAACTCTACCTGGTCTCACCTAGACTAAATTTTACAGTTCATGTATTTGGTATTCTGAATTGTTCCCATACCAAGAATATGGTTAGCAGGTCTCCCCACCACCAAAAAAAAAAAAAAAGAAAGAAAAAGCAGTGATAGGTTCTCTTTTAGATTCTAATGAATTTCAGAACAGTTACTCCTAATCGGATTTGCTAGATAAATTTTAAAATTCCATTCAACTTTGATTTTGTATGTCTTATAGATTTTTGTTTTCCTACATGTCAGTGGTTTCCCATCTCAGCTGATTTTAAAACTCAGAGAGCTTTACAAAGTACACATTACTTCCATTCTGGGTCAATTTAATTATTATTCTGGGGTGGCCTGAGAGTCTACCCCTAAAAGTTCCTTAGTGAGGCCAGTTGCGGTGGCACATGCCTCTAATCCCAGCAACTYGGGAGGCTGAGGCAGGAGGATCGTGAGTTCAAAGCCAGCTTCAGCAATTTATTGAGGCACTAAGCAACTCAGGGAGACCCTTTCACTGATAAAATACAAAATAAGGCTAGGGATGTGGCTCAGTGGTCAAGTGCCCCTGAGTTCAATCCCCGGTCCCCCTCCCCACACCCTGTCAGTACTTATGGATCCTGAACCACTGAGATGACACTCTTCCTCCGAAAAAATGGGGTGTTATCTTCCCCTTAGAAMAGAGTGGGTGTTCTGAATAATTGTTTCTTAAACCTTTTCAGGTATAGGAAAGTGATTTTCCTATAATGTAAATTATATAAATATGGTATGTAAATATGATATTTTATTTCTTCTAGCAATASACCTATGGATGTAGCTCAGTGGTAAAATGTTCCAGGTTCAATCCCCAGTACAAAAACAAACATGCATACTAATCTCCACGAGTTTTAACATCTATCTGGAATCTGCAGTCTTTTTAGATGCTCTAAAATTAGATATTTTCCACTTACAGAAATTCTCTTCAGATCATTGGAAGGTTTACTTAAAAATTTCTACAGTAACAACTTGGACAGTGCAACTTGAAATTGCCTTCTGTGGCAYTTGTCACTTCAACATTAAGTTTTATTTTGTACCAGATAACTGGAGCAATAAATGTCTTCAGAAAAGGTCTGAAATAGTAGTTTTACTTGAAAGAATAGCATTATTGAGTTTAAATAATCCTCAGTTGTGTTTTCTTCTAAAAACTTTAACATTTGGGATTTCTTTAAAGTTCTTTATAATTTCTTCCTATGCTCTCTGACCAGTTTCAAGATTGTACTATTGTATCTCAAAGAACTATCCTACTCATTTTGAAGCTCTGAAAAATAATATAAATCACATATTTTTCCTGTTTACACAAAATAATTCTCTAACAAGATGTGTTTACCTTCTTGGCTGGCCARGGAAGTCTTTTGTGAAGAACAGCATTTACAGTGAAGCCAGAGTGCAACCTGCGGAAGGTGGTGGATGGGACACTCTGGCAGAGAGAGCAGGGACCAGAGCCATGGGGAGCCAGGGCTGGCTGTAAAGGAGAAGGACAGCTGCTAGGTGTGGGGAGGGGAGGGGTATGGCAGACTTGCCACTTTAGAAAACCCCTGCCTGGCCAGGTGCAGTGTGCAGGCCTAGAATCCTAGCATTTGGGGAGATTGAGGCAGAAGGATCCCAAATTTGAGGCTAACCTGGGCAACTTAGTGAGACCTATCTCAAAATTTAAAAAGGCTGTGGATGTCGCTCAGTGGTAAAATGTTCCAGGTTCAATCCCCAGTACAGAAACAAAAAAGAAAACCACTGCCCAGACCCTTGAAAGGGAAGAGGCCAGCTAGAGAATCTTCAAAGACCAGGTTCGGGACCATGGTGCTTTGAACTGTCRTGGTGGCCATAGAGAGAGAAGTTTATAAACATGTAAGGAACCTTATGTGGTACAATTATTGCATACCGAGAAATAAAATTAAAACCCCAATAGAAATTGGGGACAGAAATTGAAACTATGAGATAAAATATACATTAATGTTTCATTGTTGACATAGGCTAGACATTTATTCAGACCCTCACATGTTTGAGATTGAAATGTTGTTGATATTTATTTGGGGCTCACAGTACTCTAGGCCCTTTGCTCACTTCTTCATATCCAGCAACGTTTGTGTTATAGATATCTCCACCAAATCCCTAATGCCTTCAGTGCTGCCCAGTGCATGTCAGCTTCTTATACAGCGTGAAGTGAAGTAAGGGTAGCAAGCCTGGTTGCTGTGGACAGGTGACTATGCCCTGCCCCTTTCTGTGTTTCTCCATTTTGTTTTCCCCTTCAGAGAGTCTCACATGTCCCTTCAGTTTCCTGAAGCCTCCACTAGATGTCAGGCACAATTCCTCCTGTTGATCTTTGGGGGAGTTGACAGTATTGAGTAAATGAGGCTTGTCAAATAAATCTCAAGCCTTATCTTCAAAACAAAGATTTGAAGATTCTCCTACCAGCATACTAGTAACTAAGTCCAAGTCTCTAAGAGAAAAATTAGTTGCTTCTTTTGGCCAGAATATTTTTATACAATTTCTGGTTCTTGACATCTCTGATAGACTCTCTTCTGTTCTAATTCAAGCAATTTGTTGTTGCTTAGGATCTAATTATTTAACCACGTAGTTCTTAAACCTAATTTCTTTAATTAGAGGTTAGTCACCACTACATTTCAGTTTGTGGTTATTTATTACTGAGAGAAAGCAAAACTTGCTGGTGTTGGCTTAGTGTCTATATTCTTAAATTCCAGAGAGAAAGAGCATGACCGTGTCCTGCCACATACACCTGGGATTCATCTAATTTCTTGACAGGGTTGCCAAACTGTAGCCCTTAGGGTAAACCCAGCCTGTCATCTGTTTTTGTATGGCCCATGATCTAGGAGTGACTTTTATATTTTTAAATGGTTCAGGATAAATAAAAGAATGCTAATATTTTGGGAAGTGAAAACTGTATTAAATTGAAATGTCCCTGTTCATATCCAAAGCTTGATTGGGCCACAGSCACATTTACCCATTTATGTCTTGTTTGTGGCACTTTGGTACTAACTTGGCAGAACAGATTTGCTGCAGCTGAGACCGCATGCCTGCCCAAGCCTAAATATTTACTGTCTGGCTCTTTACAGGACAAGTTTGCTGACCTCTGCTCTTAAGAAAGAGTGGATAAAAACTGTACTTTGTGCTTCTTGATGTTCTTTTTTCCAAATGGTATTATATTTGGTTGGATGGTCCAGATTTTTTCCACTCAAGGGTGAAGGATAATTGATAATCTCTTAGGTTTCTTACTAGAACCAGACTGCCTGTTATTGAGAGAGCTCCTTCATTTGTTTCTCATTACCTTTGCATTCATAAATATATAGCATATTTGCACAGC